GAAAGGCGAATTTTCATGTTAGCGAAGAAAATATTTAAGAATTATGACTAAAAAACTATGAATAAAATCTTAAAAAACCAAATCAAACACCTAGTTCAAAAACATTATAAAAGAATTAAGCAATTTAACCGCCAAGAATGAAACAAAATGCTTAAATCAATATATTTACTAACCGAAGAGCAAAATGAAGCAGTTTTTGACGAAAAAAGTCCAACCGAGACTAAAATTAAAAAACAATGAGCGGTAGGATATGATAGGCAAGGCAAAAAAATCCAACCTGATCTACCTACTAAATGCCCCCATTGTCAAACTTCTATTAATAAAACTGAAATGGATATAGTTGAAGAAAAAAGTAATTCCCAAGAAACTACTTGAGAATGTTTAAATTGCGGGCGAGAAATAACAATTAGAAATTAATCTAGCAATTTCAATTTATCTTTTTCCGACTATTGGCGATATCCTTGTATAAGGTATGCATGTTTATCATAAAATATTTAATATATTCGTCTTGTTAAATAAAGCAGGGTAGAGTAGTGGTCCAACTTGGCGGGCTCATAATCCGCAGATCGCAGGTTCGAATCCTGCCCCTGCCACCAAACCCAAATATATAGCGTTTTTTAGGATGATTTCAGTTTCAAAATTTTATCTCGGAAGACTTTATTTTTGTCTGTTTTTTTAATTTTTTTGAAAGGGTAAAAAAATGCTTTTTGACAGTTTTTAAAAAGGCAAAATTAGAGCTAGTTTCGTATTTTACGAGATTTAGTAAAATTTGGGTGGTAAAAAAGTGTATAAAAAAAATAGTAAATGTGTAAAATGTATATTGTAGATAAAATTAGTAATGGTATAATTGCGTATGTGTCCCACATGTAAACCGCTGCCTGATGGATAAGGAAACATTGCTAAAATGTATTTTTTAGGTTTAGTTTTGTCGGCTAAGTCAGTCAAAAAAGTTTTATTTTTTTTTCAGCATTCTTGTCATTTTTTCTCGACCTCGTGGCATGAATAAACCATATTTATTTTTTTAAGAATAGTCAAAAAAACACCAGGTTAAATTTTACAATTATATTTTTGACAAAGAGCTTCTCGACTAGTTTTACCATTTACCAAACTTTTAATTGGTTCATAGGTCTTGCGATGTAGGGAACAAATTCCATATTTAAAGATTGCTTTTAAATGGGTAGGATTAGGATATCCTTTATTGCTTTCTCAATTGTATTGGGGATATTTTTTATGTAGGTTTTTCATAATAGCATCTCGGGTAACTTTGGCAACAATGGAGGCCGCGGCAACATTAATTGATTTACGGTCGCCACCAATAATGCTTTGAGTAGGGATATTAGGAATTATAATTTCCTCTTTTCCATCTACCAGACATAAATCAGGTTTAACTTTTAGCTTCAAGGTTGCTTCTACCATCGCTTCTTTAGTGGCTTGGAGAGGATTTTTACTTTCTACTTCTCGCGGATTTTTAATGGCTACACTGTAGGTTAAGGCGGCTTTTCTAATTATTCCGTAAGCTCTATTTCTTTGTACAGGTTTTAAAATTTTGGAATCTCTAATCAGAGGAGAATAGAAATAAGTCGGCAAAATTACCGCTGCTACTACAATTGGACCAGCTAAGGCTCCGCGTCCGGCTTCATCTACTCCGGCAATTAAACCATGCTCCTTTCAGAGATTCATTTCAAAGTTAAGTTTTTCTCAGGGCATTTATATAAATTATTTTTAGCGACGAACAAATTTTTGGCAGCAAAGGAGAGTCTATTTTAACCATTGCTAATTTTGTAATAAGCCAAAATTCCCATCATGGCGGCATTGTCCGTGCAATATTTCTTGGGAGGAATGAATACTCTTATATTTTTATTTTTTTTTTGCAAGAATTCTTTTAAATAATTAGTCAAATACTTATTAGCCACCACTCCTCCTCCTAAAACAACTGTGTTTACTTTTTTGGTTTGTAGAACCTTTTCGATTTTAAAAGTTAAAATTTTAGCCAAAGTATATTGTAAAGAACAGGCCAAGTCGTTAGCATTTAATCTTTTATCTTCTTTTTCAATTAATAAACGCACGGCAGTTTTTAGACCGCTAAAACTAAAATCATAAGTTTCGTCTAATTTAGTTAGAGGCAATTGATAAGTGCTTTTTCCTGTTTGAGCCAATTTTTCAATAATCGGTCCTCCTGGATAATTATGTCCCAAGAGTAAGGAAATTTTGTCTAAACATTCTCCAACCGCATCATCCAAAAAGTTTTGCAGAAAGCTCTACTAGAAGCCCAAATTAATCAAAATAAAATTGATTATATTACTTACACGGAGAAGCCCGGATTAGTTATTTG